CAATAATTTATTAACAAAATGTTAAATTTAGCGATCAAGAATAAAACATTGCTCAAAAGATCTTTCCTCACTTTTTGTATATTTAAGAAACCAGTTGTCAAGTTTGGAGATAAAATTAGTGTAAATATTGTTAGAATGATGTCACTTTGTGGTGAGTTGCGTAAAAAATTTATAGACTATGTGCAATGGAAAGTCAATTCATTAAAGTTGGACTGAGTTTTGGTGACTTACCAAAGAGTGATTCATTATATATCTGTTATACTTAATATGTTAAAGCAGCGAAACTTTTTGATACTCCAAAGCATGCAGGATCAACAGAGAATAATTCATATTAGAAACGAAACCCAATGACTGCCTTGGGAGTAAATGTCATTTACTCCTGATGAAGGAAAGTCCACTTTTGGAAAGCTCTTGGGTTTCTTAATATGGTTAAAACAGTTTGGAATTGAGAGTAAACAAAACATATATTCTAGAGTAATTGAGTAAATTATTTTTTTTGTGTCTTTTTATTTGATTTAAAAATTGTGGAAATTGAAAATGCCAAATTTACCTTCAGTTACTTTGGCAATCAAATACTACTAAGCTTATTCTGTTTATACAGTTTTAGAAAAGTGCAAAGTTAAGACTGGTAATGCTGATTAATAATTTAAGCTTAGGATTTGTAAGCTTTCCTGTGTTGAGTCAAGTTAAGTACTTAAAATCATTTCAACACTGTTCAAATGTGTATTTTCTTGTATTTTTTTTTCAAGCTTTGGAGTTAATAATATAGTGCCTATGGCTATTTGATTAATAGAAGTGCCACTTAGTCCTATGACAGGTGGAAAAGCTTTGTTTAATAAAAGCAAAAATAACTGCAGTGTTTACATAAATGTGCGTATCTGTGATGGAATTCTGAAGAATTTGTAATTTCACCATCAGATCAGTGATAAGTTTGTATAGTTATTGCTGTATAGATGTCCTCTAGCCTATTATTGATGTTTTCTTTCACATTCTTGTTTTCAGAGTCACCTGCCAGATCTAAAAGTCCATGCCTATTTTGCCCCAGTGACCCCTCCTCCTTCTGTGGGTGGGGGAAGACCAGGATACTGTCGGTGCTGTGTAGTATTATGAAATGTTCAGTGAACAGGTAGCTGAACTGGACTTTTCAGTATATATATATATATATATACAAGTCAGAAGTAAATGCAGCCACTTTTCAAGCTGTTTATCGTAGCCTGACCAGTAGGTGCATTGTTTATGGTTTTGGCTGTTTTCTTCACCTTTCATATATATTCCATATGCCTCAACCATTCTCTGTGATTGACAAGTTTCTGTCACCAAGTGGTAAGATGCTTAACAACGTGCAGCTCTAGGTTACTTAGAAAAAAAGACGAAAATGTGGTAAGAGCTGATAAATAGTCAGGATATGACAAAAAACCAGTTAATGAAAATTCTGTGTTTACATCCCTTTCATGAAGCTTTCTTTTCTGTAGATGTTATAAGATTTACTGTCCTTGAGCCAGATGGATCATTTCCCATAATTAAACAACAAATATGACTAGGGGTCACATGGCCAGGCCATCTTCATTCCTTCCGATAACTTTGATGTTGTGTCAAGTCAAAGGTCTTTATACGTAGGGTAAGTAATGTGAAAATAAAATTTTTTAGATATTCTGTGTCTACAAATGTTTAGGGATATTATAATGTTTATCTTTTGTATCTAAAGCTATGTGTATCTTCTCTAAAAACATTTCAATGCAATTAAAGACAGTTACAAAGAGAACAAACTCCTTTGCTTTTCACAAGACTCCTGATGTGAGATTTGTTAATCTTAGTAGTTGTGAAGAAACTTTTGTATGGATATCTCTAAATTGTTTTTGGGAGAAGTTAAGATTCAGAACTGTGATTTTTGTGTCTCAGACCCCTTTCTGTTATCTTTATTCATATTATGCATATGCACTGTATTTAAGAGTATCTTCATCAAACAAGATTAATTTTTTTTATTAAATCAATTATTCTAGTGAATCTTCTGGACTTATTTTACTAATAACGTTTTATTATGTCATGTTTTTAGAGGCAAAAATCTTTTCATTAAACATAAGAAAAATACTTCATAGAATACAAACAGAATGTTGCCATGTTTTATGTAGTACTTCTGTTGATTTAGTTCCTCAGGCATTTAGAACAACGGAAACACAAATATGAAGTAACAAAAAACATTACTTGGTAAAATTTGATTTGAAAAACATGTCTAACAATTAGTGAAAATCCACAGTAAACGGAACAAATTGCCAGAAGTCTTATATCAGAGAAACTGTCATCTAGAAGACAACGTGAGGCTAAAGAGGACACACGGATGTGTTGAAACTAGTTTCTCTGATATCAGACTTCTGACAGTTTGCCCCGTTTACTGTAGTTTTTCTACTAATTTCACACCAAGTTGCCCATCTCCCGATAATCAACTTGAATAGCCCAAACACATAAGAAAGTTATGATTAGTGAATATATTATGAAACAGATAAAAAATATACCTTAACTTTTCTGATCAGTGACATAAAACATATTTTTAAATGCTGACTATTTATTTACCCATCACTTAAGTTTTACATTTTCTGTGATATCATTGTGCATATCTGGATATTGTTGTACACTCTAGGGATAAAGATGAAGTTTCAGTATGCCGAGGTTTTTTTTTAAGAATATTGTAGGAGTATATTTTGGTCATATAGTGAACCATTTTATTTATTATATGTGTTCCTAAATACTAATATAACTACAGTTTTACTTCTAAATGATATTATGTAACTAAATATCTCTGAAACACAGTTTGGCTCTTGTTGAGTAAAACTTGTTCTGTAAACATCACTTGACCTAAAGGTCTTGGTGTAATGCAATACGTGCTTCATACCTTCCCAGTTCTCCACTGTTTCGCTTGTCTTATTTCTTTATGTATCAGTGTAAATGCAATCTTTTGTACACTTTTTTTATGCTGAACATTTATACATACTAGTGTCTTGCTAGTTGTACAGGTACACTCATAATGCTTGGAGACGGCTTGAATGGGTAATGAAAAAAAACTTTAATATAAGTTTAACATAACAGTAAATGTACAACGTTTTGACAAAGTTTTGTCATCGTCAGGTACAAATAGTTTACACTGACACAGATATATATATATATATATACAGTATGGAACAAAGAGGTCACATGATGGATATTGTTGCATGACTTAGAAGAGATATCTTGGCACTCGGTACATATCATGTATAGTCATCTCATTTTTGAGTTATTTCTCTATCATGTTACTACCTTTTAAATAATCAAAAATGGAAACAACATTTGTGTGTCTTCCACATATTTGTTTTAAATGTTTGTCTTAAAGGTGCAATATGAATCATGCACTCTCATCTTTTTTTTTGTGGATTCAGACCCTCTTTTATAAATGGGTCTGTATTTTGGTTCTTATTTCTCATACTTGACTCCATAAAACATGATTTGATATTGGTGGAGTACTTTATAGTTCATAGGCTATCACATTCTCTGGTTCACTCCTCCTTTTCAATGTGGTAATAAGGCCTGCCTGTTTTGGATTTTAGATTTTTTGGCTTAAAATGAATTACACACAGGCAATTACCTCTGAAACGTGTTCCCCCCATGCCTTCCTATAACTGTGAAATTTATGGTTGCCCATTACAACTGCAAAGGAAATCTGGCTTTGGGCTGGAAGGTAGAGCTTAAGTAGTCCTTTGATGCATGTGCAAATAAGTCACGTGGAAGGTGTGGTCAGTGGTAGACTCTCCGGGTTTTAAATATGAGTGGACTGAGGATTCTTCTACAACAGGTGTCTGTGACTTTTTGGCAATAAATTCGAATAATAAACGGATAGCACATAAGCCACTTATTTTGAAATAATATATTCAAAATGAGTCAAACGTATGTACAAAGATTCTTTACATTCTAGGATATCACAGTTGTATCTAAAACTCTAAGTAATTCTGATTCAATTACTTTAGAATCCAGTTGAGAAGATGAATTATTTTTCTATACTCTTATCACAATAGTCACAGTGAATAATTCACTTACATTACCCCATGGATTACCACAGTTGTATCCTGAACATTAAATAATTGTCTCTTTTTCATCAAAGTCAACACAGGTGGGTTTAATTACCCTAGAACACCCTTTGACAAGACAAATTATTCTCCTTATCTCTGTTAAACTGTGAAACTCACTTTAAGATATCACCCATTAAGGCTAAACTAACAATCACACAGTCTAACTACACTTTCTCTAACTTAATGTTTCATGACTTAACTTCTTTTGTTGGTTACTACAGTTGTATCCAGAGTTTTATATAACTGTTTCTTTTGTTTTTGTCAAAAGTCAACACAGGCTGGTTCAGTTACTTTAGAACCCAATTGACAAATTATTTTTACTATCTCTGTTGCTACAATACAGCTGTGAAACACACTACAAAAATCACCTGTTAAGGCTAATCACTCGCATGCTGGCTAACTTCATGTTTTCTTTCACTAATTAACTTTTTTTCTTGACTGAACTTCACTTAACATTGGTCTAGAACTTTCTACAAACTACGAGATGATATGATGTAACAATACTCTCATGGGTAGAAAAACTTAGAGGTTTCGAGAAAGATGACATCAGCAGTGCTACAACAATTGAGTTACACACACAATGTAGACTCTTACTGAGTTATGTAATGAAATTTGTTATAACTATTGTTATTAAAATGATTAATTTTAACACTCTTGTTACAAAAACTAAATAATCATTAAATATTAGATCACTAAATGAACTAAATAATAACTCTTACACTAAATAGTCTTGTATATCCAACATAACTTATCGGTAAGTATTGCATTGCATCGAAGAATTTCAGAATTTTGGGTCATATGAAGTTTACAGAGGGAGTTCTATTGAACAAGAGGAGGCAAAACTGTGTTTCAGAGCTACGTATAGGTTGAAGATACAATTGAATTCTAAAAATGTCAAATTTTCAGTGAATGTTTTCAATCCCTCCAAACTAGGGAAGGATGCACACTTCTTGAGCATATCAACATATCCTGGTGTGATCAGGTGTCAAAGTATGGTATTGAAGCCATGGCAAGAGGGTGCCAATGTTTGCGAGCTTTTATATGTAAAGGGTGTCATTTAGTAAGTATCGTTTGATTATCTAAATGTTTGGTCATTTTGTAATGGATTTATCATGACAGAACTTCTGTAAGTTTCTAATAAATTCAGAAAATACGATTATGTATGTGTCATTAAGTTAGATAACTACTTTAACATTTCGTGGTTTGATAGCGGTGATTTTAGATAGCTTGTATATATTTTATGTTTAATGGTATGGCTTATTGATGTTACCCAAATGACCAGATTGATTGTAAGTAATGTGAATTGTAATAAACTAGTGTTGTATTTCTGGAATCAGTTTAGTTGATTATAGATAGCACTGTAACATAAGTTTAATATCATATACTCTGTAGTTACTTTCAGTAGCATTATTGGTTGGAATGTTTAATACATTTAGTTTTATTACCTTTTTATTTTATTTTTATTACCATATTTTCATTATAAAAACTTTTATTGCATTGTTAGTTTAGTATATATATATTTAGGACTAACCTGAATCTCCTAAGCTGGTCGAACCTTGTGAGATATTGTAGGGTTTGTGGTTGTTAATATCATTAACACTGAGGGTACCCAGCTGTTGAAACAATTTTTATTACCATATTTTCATTATAAAAACTTTTATTGCATTGTTAGTTTAGTATATATATATATTTAGGACTAACCTGAATCTCCTAAGCTGGTTGAACCTTGTGAGATATTGTAGGGTTTGTGGTTGTTAATATCATTAACACTGAGGGTACCCAGCTGTTGAAACAATGCATTCTGATCTGTATACATAAGAAAAGTATACTTAATTAGCTATGCTAATTTCTGTTACTAAGTTGAGTTTTAGTTTCTCTCTAAACAGGTAGCTTGATTTGATCTAAAGTTATTAGTAAATATTACATTTTATAATTAAATTAGATGAATTAATTAAATTATTCTAGACAAGTAATATAATACATGGATAAATGATATTATTCTATGAATTAACATTATTTCATATATATATATATATATAAAGAAAAACAACATGTGAATGAGAAATAACTTATAGTTACAGATATAACGTAACATTTAAATAAGAAAATATTAAATGGATTAAGAGAATTCATTCTTCATTAGTTGTACATTTCAACAATAAAAGGGCAAATTAAAATTACTAGGTATTAGCAATATAATAAAAAATGTGAGATTTTGGAAATAATAGTTGAATGTTAATGTAGATGGCGCTTGATTCTTTTACTATTGTAGAGAAATTTGAATAATGGAGAAATTTTCTAAAGAATTATATGACAAGAACATTTTCTTTATCTAATTAAGATGTATTTTTTATTTCAGGTCACTGATGATGTTCTTGGTGCTTTAACAAGGTTTTGTAATGGTCTTCAGGTTATTAACATCCACGGATGTATCGTAAGTTAATCGTTAATTGCATAGATAAACTTTTTGTGCGATACTCTTTTAAAGTATCTTGTAATATGAGTGGGTGTTAAAATAAATAAATAACATTGTGTTATTAATCATTATCCTAATTCCAATTTGAAAGCTACTGAAATAAAATTGATAAAATTACATGTCACCAATGTAATCTATTCACACCACATCGGTTGTTGTTCATTTTGATAACATAAATAGCATCTCAGCCACTACTATATCTGTCATATCCCAGCTGGCTTGAAGAGCCCTGGTATTAGGCAAAAGTCCTCTTCAGCACTGGGTGTAGAAGGTATAGTGTGGTTGACATATATTCTTATACATTATACTTTATTTTCACTCATAAATTATTAGATTTAGCAGAATTATATTTTCTCATATATCCTACAGACATTGTACATGTAAAAGATTACACCAAGGTTATTTCTTTGTGCTGAAAAAAATGTAGTTCCAATGAATATTGTATTGAATACTACAGAGGTATAGTGAAAACTTCTTAAAACTACTTAATCTGTTTATCTGAATCAAAAAATTTGGGCTCTTGTATTTGTTTTAAGTATTTGAAAACTTACATAGTTAACAAATTATATTTGAAAGGTTTCATCAGAAAACATTTATATTTATGATTACTATGTTGTTTGTCTAATTTCTGTGAAGAATGTTGGTGATGATGGTATTCAGTTCATCAGTCAGAATTGTCCCAATCTTCATTACTTATGTGTATCAAATTGCTCTCGACTCACTGATGCTTCCCTTATAGCACTGGGCCAGGGTTGCCTCAATCTCAGGTACAATGCCTTGATTTGTTTTATTTGTAACAAAATAAGTATGAGTTACTATTCTGATAAGTTGTAATCATCATGGGATTAAATGTTGCCTGTTTGGTGTTGTAAACTGAGCTCTAGGTTGCTATCAGATTTGTATGTTAACATGTTACCTGTTTGGTGTTGTAAACTGTGCTCCAGGCCATTACCAGATGTGAATCCAAGCTTATAGTCTTAGTTATTGCATGGTTGAAGGTTTTTTTTTATAATACAATTTATTATATTGTTATTTTATTTAAAGCTTAATTTTATTTGTAGGAAAGTTTTAAATGGCAAATTTGATTTTTTAAGAACTTGTTCGTGTATTACTTTTTTGAATCCATGAAAACAATAAGTTGTTTTAGTTCATAATGCAACTCAAAATTTTGTTTTATTTTAACTCGTGTTTTAAATTTAATATACGCTGTTTATCCTTGAACATGCAGCAAATGTGCTGATTACTCATAACTCAGTTATACAGTGTGTTTTCCTTCATATTGTTCAAACAGTTATCTACAACGTAATTGTAGTATTAAAACTTCAAATTTCTTTGTTTTCTTGTGTCACTTTAGGACATTAGAAGTTGCAGGATGTTCACAATTTACTGACAGTGGATTCCAAGCTTTAGCAAAGGTACATCCTACAGTTGTTTTAATATGTCTACATCCTTAAGCTGATAAGTACATCTACATTCAGTAATTACTAAAGTGCCTCATAATCTTTCAATTATTCTGTTACATGCCAGTCCCAGTATTATTTTGGATCCTTTTCTTTTCCACAGTTCTTCTTATAGAACATAAATACTTTATGGAAAGTAATATATATATATTGTAACCCTTTGTAAAAATAAGATATTTTATTATAACCCAGAGAGGCTGCTCAGTAATATGAGAAAAGGATACAATTTGTCTAAATGTTGTAGTAAAATAATACATTATATCATAATAAAATCAGCATTGCTCGGTATTGTAAGAAAACTATAAAGTTCTTGTACACCTGATGGTGAAATAATACGTTTTGTCATAACCAAGATAAAGTTGGTGCATAAGAATACAGTTTTTGTAATCACTATTGTAAACTTTATAATACTTTTCAAGGGTGTGTTTTTAATTTGTTAAACGTAAAACAGAATTGTTAGTCGTAGTTTTTATATCAGTAGTTTTACGTAATTCTATTTCTGCTTGTGATTATGATTGTACTTTCTTGACAAGTGTTTCGTTATAAAAGAAAGTTAAAGTGTAATCAGTCTTCTAAGTAGTATTAATCAGCTTGTATTTATTTTTATTATCAACATTAGCTTTAGAAACAGATTTATCCATCTTTCTGAATACAGTTAAGTACTCAAGACTTAATAATGAAGTTTATATTAGGTATTTATTTCATAAGATGTTAGTCAACATCTGTTACATTTTTCACAGAGTTGTAACAAGTTGGAGAAGATGGATTTGGAGGAATGTGTGTTGGTAGGTAGTGCATTTTAAGTTTGATTGATTTTCATACATTTAACGTAGTTTTATATTAGAATTCAAGCCTTTGGGTTTTTAAATTCATTAACTAAGGTTATTTACTAGTTGTAAAAGAACTTAACAGTTTGGTGATGACTCTCCTGAACGTTTTTATTTTTTATAGATAACAGATAACACGCTGTGCCATCTAGCAGTTGGTTGCCCTTCTCTAGAAACTCTTGTAAGTTTTAAGGTTCAGGTAAACTGTGTCATAGTTTTAAATGGTCTGCTTTGCTTCAACTTTTCCTGTATAGCTGTTAAAGTATCTCTTTTTAAATATTCTAAACGGTCTGTATATCCTTTAATTTAGCTCTCTCTGTATAGCTGTTAATGTATCTGTTTGATATACGTTAGTAGATATTCTAAATGGTCTGTATATCCTTTAATTCAGCTCTTCCTGTATAGTTGTTAATGTATTTGTTTGATATACGTTAGTAGATATTCTAAATGGTCTGTATGTCCTTTAATTTAGCTCTTCCTGTATAGTTGTTAATGTATTTGTTTGATATACGTTAGTAGATATTCTAAATGGTCTGTATGTCCTTTAATTCAGCTCTTCCTGTATAGTTGTTAATGTATTTGTTTTTAAATATTCTAAATGGTCTGTATATCCTTTAATTCAGCTCTTCCTGTATAGTTGTTAATGTATCTGTTTGATATACGTTAGTAGATCCCATATTGTGTTCTTTTATTACTAACAGTGGCATGTAACTTGTTAATGTTTTAGATGTTGTTATGGAAGTTAATCTAAAGTAAATCCTTCAACAATGGCATGTAACTGGTATTTCATATCACTAGACTATTTCAAAATATACCAACAGTAGATTTAAATGAAAGAAACAAGTGATGTCTTATGAATTTTTTTTTAGATGCTCTAATAATTTGATTTCTGAACTTACAGAACATTTGCCCAAAATTGTAATAATATTGAAGAACTGAACCTGAATGGATGTAAAAATCTCACAGATAGGTAAACATTTTAATTTAAAAAATTCAGGTAATATGAAAAACTAAATGTAACTATCTTTTAACAAGACCTGTAAAATCGTCATGAGCTAAATATAAATAAGTAAAATGTTCTTGTAGATACTTTAAGTTTTTTTTTGTTCTTGAATACTTAACTCTGAAAATTTGTGTAAACCTTGCAAATAGTAACCTGTCTTATTGTATTGAGTAAGACTTTCATCATTGTTAGTTCATCCCAAGGGTAGAAGTACAGTTAAAAAAACTAAGTTTGAAGGTTTCTTTTGTAATTAACATAAGCATACTAATTCGATGACGAGGAACCCACTTTGAGACTAATAAAGTTTCAACAAGGTTTTGTCATCATCAGGTATGACAAAACCTTGTCGAAACGTTGTACATTGGCTGTTATGTTAAACTTATATTAAAGTTTTTCTTCATTACCCATTCAAGCCATCTCCAGCCATTATAAGCATACTAATGTTGAAAAGTAAATTCGAATGGATAGAAAAAGATAGTAACATATTCTATACTCGTGATGATAACTGACGAAAAATATATATTCATTATTTAGCAACTATTTGGTATTTAATAGATATGTACTTGAGTATTTGGTGATTGATTGGATACTATATTCAGGTACTTGTAGAACGATAGAGACACCTAACAGTAAAAATATTAATTGTTCTATAAATTTAAATATCATAGATACAATGAAATGATATTTGTGGCTGTAATGTGGCCGTGAACTAAACTATTTATCTTTTTACAGCACTTGTCAGAGTTTGAGCAAATATTGTTCCAGACTTTTATATTTGGATCTTGGTTCCTGTTGCCAACTAACAGATTCCTCCTTAAAGTTTCTTGGGTAATTACAACTTTTTAGATTTCCACCACAGTTAAGTGTTTTTATGGATAAACAAATGTTCCAGATTTCGTATTTGAACCTAGATTCCATTTATCGACTATCAGCTCTTTTCTATATTGGTTATTAAGATGTTTTTAAAATTTGACAGTATGTAAAATATTTAGTTCATTATGTAGGCAACTTGAAGAGTTTATCAACTGTCTGCTAAATTAGAAAACAACGGTTCTTTCTAGAATTAATATTTTAAAATAATACCAGAATTATTTTCTAAGCATTTGTAAAGATATATAATGTTGAAGAAATTGATGTCTTCCTTATAATTTTGTCTCCTCAGAAGACAAGATGGGTCAAAAATTTGCTTCTGTGACAGGTAAATAGCATACCACATCAACGAAGGATTTACTTTAGATTAACTTCCATAACAACATCTAAAACATTAACAAGTTACATGCCACTGTTGAAGGATTTACTTTAGATTAACTTCCATAACAACATCTAAAACATTAACAAGTTACATGCCATTGTTGAAGGATTTACTTTAGATTAACTTCCATAACAACATCTAAAACATTAACAAGTTACATGCCACTGTTGAAGGATTTACTTTAGATTAACTTCCATAACAACATCTAAAACATTAACAAGTTACATGCCAC